CTGGCATCTTCCCCGCTGCCCCAGGTGAGGCCCAGCTCCTTGCTGTGGCTCCCTGGCCTTTTGTGATCCGGCAGCCTTGACCCCCTGCCTGGCCCTCACCCCTCCCCCTCCCCTTGCCCCTCCCCCATGCACTTCCCACTCCAGTCCACCCCAGCGTCCTTGTCCTCAAGGTAGCTCCTCTGGCCCAGTCTGCAGTCTCACCTCCGGCCCCACCTGCTTTCCTGCCATCTTCCCTTGGTCAACCCTGCTCATCCCACAGCCCCCCAGCTCCTCTGACCCCCGTCCCAGCTGCTCTCCACCCTCAGCCACCCAGGGGACAGGAGGGGACAGTCCCATTTTACAGCCTGGACCGAGGACCCCCGCTGGTGAGCAGAGGTCTCCCACCCCAGACAGGCCCCTCCTCTCCGCACCCCCTCCCTGCTGCCTGCGCTCACCCGCAGACTCCCCGCAAGGACAGTCCCAGACACGCAACCCTTTGAGCAGCGAAGGCAGAGCCATTTCCCAGGATGCTTTCCTAGTGCGTGACTTCAGGGCACCACGAGCAAAACCTATTCCCTGTCTCTTCCCTGTCTCCGGTCCTTCCCTGTGCCAGGCTGTGGAGCCAGGTGTCCTGGGTGAGCCACTGGGGAGAGCTCCCAGCCACCTCCCTCCAGGAGCTTCCAGCCCAGGACACGGCCCACAGCCCACAGCCCACAGCCCACAGCCCACAAAGTTGCTGAGCAGGGAACAGGGAGGGGCCAGCGCCTGGGGCAGGGGGGAGTCCTGCGGGGGCTCTGGGGAGCTTTCCCTTCCTCCCTCGATGCCTGTGACAGGGCTGGGGCTCCTCGGGGGTCCCCTGCTAGCCCAGCTCCCCTCTCCTGTCTTCCCAACATTGTGCTTCTCGGCTGTACAGGCCAGAGACGTGGTGGGAGCAACATCTAAAAATAGAGCAGCCGGTTCTGCGCCAGGCCCGAGGGTGCCTCTGGTTAAAATGCATGAGCCTTGATGTAGAAACAGCAATCTTTCTTTTCAACATCATCTGCCTATTGGATGGTTCTGGGCAGTTCTGGGGCGGGAGGGTGCCCGCGAGAGGGGGCAGGAGTGACTGGGGGGTGGGGAAGGGGAGGGCAGCGTGTGTCCTTTTGGTGCCTTGCACAGAGGGACACACAGTAGGTGCTTGGAAAATTCTGGAGATTCTTTCACTCGAAAGGTTCAAGGATGCTGCAGCGCAGCGGAAGGCAGCAAGTCTCAGGGGAAATGGTGCTGCAGATCAACCAGGTTCTTCCCAAGTTCAGGAAAGAGCAGTGGGAAGAGGAAGGGGAAGGGGAGAGGGGGGACGCTGCGAACCCTCCAGAGGAATGGGCAGTGGGAAGGAAGGGGGAGCCTTTATTTCCAGGGGACGGGAGAGGCTTCCCTCGGCCATCGATGTCTCCCATTTGGCTCGTTGCATGAGGACAAGTCCTGGAACTGCCCCAGAGACCAGGCAGATTTGGGAGGAAAAGGGCCGGTTCCCAGTGAGGCGGCTGCTGGTTCGGTGCAACCAAAGGCTCGCAGACACAGATCCAAACGCGGACCTCCGTGGGCAGGAAGGAGTGTGTTATCAAAAATTAAAACTAAAGAAAACAAAAGGCGGGGAAAAAAGTGTACTGAGAAGTCGGGAAAGAATATTGCCTTTTTAATAATAAATACATTCCGTGGGCAAGAATTGCAAGGGAATCGTTTAAATTAATTTCCGCTGTGTTTGTTTGGTGTGTACGGGGCGTACGTCCCAGCTGACAGCGATCTGTGGAAGTGCTAACATATTGGAAATCTGATTTCTTGCAGCCAGAATCCCGTAGTCTAAAGTGATTTCTCTTTCAGCCCTGCTAACCAGACAGGCAGGGCTCAGGCGGCTCCTCGGGGATCAGCTCCCGCCTGGGGCTTTGGGGTGTAAAGGTGTCTGGTGGGGGCTCAGCAGACCTGGTGTGGGGTGGAGGGACAAGAGTGAGGCAAGATGAGCAGTGGGAAGGAGGGCAGCGCTTGCCCTCCTTCCCCAGGCGCTGCAGGCGCTGCCTTCTCTTCTGCACCCCCCCATCTGGACCATGTGTCAGGGGAACCCCCACCACGATGGGAGGGGAGCACTCCAGTTGGAACTGGAGGCTGAAGGCGAAGGCAGAATCCCTCCCCCTCCCACTCTCGGTTCAGTGGTGAGAGGGCCTTGGCTGACGTCCTTCCCCACCCCTCTCCCACCTCTGCCAGCGAGCCAGCCCCACGGTGCGCAGTGCCGTGTGCCGTGTGCCATCGCCCCTGAGCACAGCGTGTCAGCATCGTTGTTTCAGCAATCACTCCACCCCCTGGGTCTGTGTCCCTCCTCACAGCCACCGCACACACCGCCCCTGAACTTGAGTTCCCACCCACCTTATTCCTATATCCCACCTTATATCCAACCTGGCTATGGCTGTTTCCTAAAACCAAATCCATCTGCAAAAGATGCTGGTTTATGCTTAGAACAAACGAATCTGTGAATAAGCAAACTGTAAGTCAGAACCAGAAACCAAGCCCCTAAAATTATAGGCAAAGTGTATCCATATGGCCAGAAAGCAGGGGTGTGACAGGGGCCTCTCGGGTCTGGAGGTGAGACCTCGGGATGCGGCGTCCCCTGCCCTACACCCCTGGGGCTCCTACCAGCCAGGGCAGCCCCGTCTGGTCTGACGTTCCTTGGCCAGGAAAGGTGTGGAGTGTGTGTGTATTTGAATCGACTTTGTCACCTTTAGCCCCTCCCCATCCACCAGGGGGCCTTAACCGAGGCTCTATGAATGAACTCCAGGGTAACCCAAGCCCCTAAAATCATAGGCATAACTCCAAGCCCCTAAAATTATAGGCAAAGTGTATCCATATGTGCCCTCCCCTGGCCCCTGGCTTTTCTGGGTTCTCACATGCCTCCATGGCCCGCGAAAGGGTGAGCGGCCCAGCTGCGCATCAGGTCTGCTGGCTGGCACTCCCAGCTGTGCCGCTCAGACCTCCCACCCCTGGCTCTTGGTCCGGGACCCAGACGCAGAGGCGCCTGCCCTCGGTCCCCCGGGCGCTGGCCCTGTCTGTGGCCCTTTCTCGCTCCTTCTCTGTTGCGCGTCTTCCTCTCTTCCTTCCCTCTTTCCAACTGAATTCTCGTTTTTCCTCTCTCCCTAGTGCTTGTACGGCTGCTATGTCCATTCTTCCATCATCCCCACCTTCCACCGGAGGTGCTACTGGCTCCTTCAGGTAGGTGGCCGGGACTCGGTGCTGCTTCCGTCTCCGGTGCTGGGAAGGGTCTGCGGAGGGACCGAGTGGGGGGCTCCTGCGTGCAGCGGCCCTGGCCAGCTTTCCCAGGGACGTCGGTGTGTGTGCCGAGGCCAGCTATGCGACTGGCCTGGTGCCGTGTAGGGTGCCAGGAAACGGAGAGGGCCTGGAGGGGGGTAGTCCTCACCTGCCCCCTGGGAGTAAAGCCTCTGCGGGTGTTTCCGGGTGCCTTGGCTTCCTCTGGATGAGGACAGAAGGACAGAAGGACGACTGAGCGTCCTGCCCCTGACCGGGGAATGCCCGCCGGCTGCAAGCTGCACCTTTTATCTTGCGGGTCAGTGGTTGGCATGTGTGGAAAATCGGCTTCTGGGGGCACAGCAGTTGCAGTTGGATTGACTCGGATCGATTGGGAGGTCTCTTGGGAGAGGAGGTGCTCCTGGCTGGGAGTGTGGGGAAGGGGAAGGAGTTCTGTAATCCATTTGTGATGTCTGCCGTGTAGCAGGATGGAGGAAGGTGTCCTTGCTGCATAGGGTGGCCTGGCTGCCAGATCGCTGTCCATGGTGCTGGTGCACAGCCTGGCTGAGTCCGGCCTGGGTGCTGGCCTCTTCCAACTGGTGGTCACAGCTGGTCCTCCTACCTGCTCGAAGCAGGCTGCTGTGTGTGGGGGGAGGCCGGAGGGATGCCTCCAGTCAGGCTGGGTCTCGGCCTCTTCCAATTGGTGGTCACCACTGGTCCTCCTACCTGCTCGAAGCGGCTGCTGTGTGTGTGGGGAGGCCGGAGGGATGCCTCCAGTCAGGCTGGGTCTGGGTCTTCAAAGCTTGGCCTCTGATTTGCAGCTGCTATCAGAACCCACCGTGGGTGGGCCTGGCACCATCACCCAAGTTCTTGCTCCAGGAGTTGCTGGCTCTAGTCTTTCCCGCCGTGAGTCCACTGTCTATATCCACTGTGGTTCAAGTTCACCAACACCCAGGCCCTAGTGCTCTGCGGGGTCTGCCAGCCCTTGGGGTGTGGCATGTGTTCAGAGAGGACAGCCTTGGAGTACAGGGGGGGCCCTGGTCCCAGGGCAGGTGGCCTGGAAGGTGTCCCAGGCCCAGAGCTGTCTTGGTGTGGACGCCGAGGCTCCCCCGCCTCCAAGCCCTTTCGCCCTCCCCCCAGTTCCCAGAAACAATTGTCTGTGGTGGGACAAGTTCATTAGCGGGTGACGCCGAGGCTGTCCAGGGACAGGCTGATCTGCAGACACGGTTTCCTGACAACCTGCCCTTCACCAGTCTCCCGGGTCTGTCTCCCTTGGCGGTGGCCCGGGAGCACCTGGCTTTCCAACTGCTCAGACCCGAGTTCCTGTGAGAGGGACCTTCAGTGGTCGTGGGATGATAGTTCCCTGTCTGGTTCGTAGGAATGAGCTCCACCATTTAGCACGTGGCTTTCTCCTGTGCCAGGGGTGGGGGGGACTGGGTTAGAGCCTGCCTGGCCTCCAGGCCACGCTCCGGCTGCACACCCCTTCCCGGGCCTCCAGCCCCTGGTGGGTCCTGTGTGGGCTCTTTCCCTTTTCGGTTCTCATGCCCCATCAGCACCTCCCAGCGCTCCCTTTCTGCCGGCCACCACCCTCCCGCCAGCCAGCCTCCCAGGGTGCTCCCCTCCTCCGGGCCCCTCTCCCACCCCCAGGCCTCTACCCGCCGCCTCTCATTCCATCACACTCTTGTGATGATTTAATTCCACTACATTTACTTTCCCGGAATCAGACACCACCAGGCAGCCACAGGGTCTCATTACTTCCCAAATTGGATCCCACTCAACCTTAGATTCGGGTGCCCCTGCCCTGTTTGTGGGGCCAGGTGGGAAGTAGGCGGGGTCCTGCCCTCTGCCCCCGCCTGCTCCCTGGGGCGAGACTCCGGCCCACCCTGTGCTGGAGACACACCTGGGGCGCGTCTGCCTGTCCGGGTCAGTTACCTTCCGGCTGGTGGGGAGCCTGCGTCTCCCCAAAGGCCAGCGTCCCTGGGTCCAATTTCTTCAGGGCTAATGCGGGCCTGTCTCCTCTCCCACCCCTTCTGCGTCCTCCAGGGTCACTCCCGATTCAGTGAGCAGGGGACAGGAGGGAGTGCTCACAGGCCGGGGCTCCTCTCCCCGCTCATCCGGGGCAGCAGGAGGTTGGGGATCCAAGGCCAAAGCAGTTAGCGTGGCTCACATCCGCGCGGAGCCCAGAGCCCATGCGACAGCCAGCCGCTCGGGGCAATTTGTTCGGTGCTAATTACACCAGGACAAGGACGGCGGGGCCAGGTTTCACGTCTGATAGGAAACAGGAAGGGAGCCGTGAGACACGGGCCCCGATGGAAATTGGCCCAAGTTTGTCTCTGACAGCAATTACCCAGGGCAAGAGTGGGCGGGCGGAGGTGTCAGCACAGTGACGGCTCAGGTGCCAGCTCGGCTCTGAGGAGGCCGGCCCAGTGCCCGGAACAGCACAGCTGCCGGGAAAGGGGCAGTGGCCTGGCACCCACCTCACGCCCCACTGCCCAGGGCGCGCTGACCACTGGGCAGGGGAGCCTTCAGAAAGGAGGGGGCTGGGAGGAGGGAGGCAGGGAGGGTGGGGTAAAGGAGGGTTAGTTCTCCAAGGAGCAGCCCCTTCTCTCCCCGCTGCTGTCCCAGCGCAGCAGCGTCTCTGCTGCATGCAGGCCGGGGACTCACTCCTGCCTCTGAGATCCTCAAACTGGTTCCGCCTCCCCCAAGGCCACTGGCCCAGCGAGACGTCTACCACCCAGGCCAGGACTCCAGCCAGGCTGTGAGCTCGCTGTGGGGGACCTGCCACCCTCTGTCCCCCAGGGGCCCGCACAGCCTCAGCCAGACAGGGAAGGGCCAGGGCCTGCTGCAGACAGCCTGCACCCCCACAGGGAATGGGTGGGCTTGTCAGACCCACACAGAGGTCAGCTAGCCTGCCAGAGCAGAGGGTCGCGGAGGTGACAGGAGCTGAGCGGCACTCAGATGCCCGAGTGACCTGGCATTCGGAGAAGAGCCCCCCTCTCTCCTTCTGTCTCTCTCCCTCTCCTCCTTCCCTCCCTCCCTTCCTTGCTAATAAATACTTTATCAGGATGTGAGCAGGGCCTCCCGGAGTGAAGGTGCATGAGGTCATCACTGTGACTGGTGGGCACCCCATGAGGTCACCTGCCCAGGTAGCATCTGGAGACCCCAGGCCACTCTGAGCCCAGATCACCTGAGCTCAGGCCACTCCTCAGCCAGAGCCAGGCCTTTGGCAGATTCGCCTGCGACCTCGAGATGCCCCCGGGCGGGCAGGCACACCCCTTCACCTGTCCCGTCGTCAGCATCACTGGGGGCCCATGTGTCACAGCTGGCAGGCCCCGGCTCCCTGGGACTTGTGGCTGCATTGCCTGGGTACATGCTGAGACCCGGAGTGGGCAGAGCAGGGCCGGCCAGGTCACTCAGCTGCGGGAGGTGGCGCCAGGCTGCGAGAGGCCGCCCCCTCCTCACCTCTGCCTCCCGGGCCTGACCGTGGTCATCTCTGCAGCTGTGGGTCCCCGAGCTCTGCTGGGCCCCTCGGGGCTGGGCCGCACAGCAAGGCCTGCATCCCTGCCCTGCGGCCTCCTGTGTATCTGCCCCCAGCATTCACGGGCCATGGGGATGCCAGGACCAGCTCACTGGGTGGAGGCGGTGGGGGCTCCTTCCCGGCCCCCTGTCTGCACACAGAGGCCTGTGGGCTGCGCACACCCTGTGCACCCCGGGCCCGAGGACGGGGCTCTCGGGTCACTGGAGGGTGGCGGCCGTGCAGGGTCCAAGTTTCAGGGCATTTCAGTTATGTGGAGCTGGGCTTGAGCCCTGACACCCCTGGACATTGGAAGTTGGGACCACACAGCCACTGGGGCACAGGCGTGGGCCCTGAAGGAGAAGCGAGTGGAGGTGCCAGGTGAGGCAGGGCACAGGGGAGGCGGGTGGGTGGGGGTAGGAGATGGCGGCATTCCAGGTGGAAGGACAGCCAGGCAGGGAGACGGCTGAACTGGAGGAGGCCGCAGCACAGGGTGCCCACCCCCAACCCAGCTCATCCGCCCCAAGACTGTCACCTGGGAACGGGCAGCGGGGAGTGTGTGGAGGAGCTGAGAAGAATTGTGCAGCCAGAGGGACATTCTCGCGCTGCCTTCCCGTCCCAGCTCTATTCTAGCCAGCAGCTTCCATTTCTTTCTGCATTTAATGCGCCTGAATAATGTGACAAGGTAGACACTGGGAATTTACTGCGCTCTGCAAAGCCGCTCAGTTCCATTAAGATCTCGGGATCTCCGCCAAGGCGCGACGACTTCCCCCTCAGGCATCTTCGCCTGATTGCGATTTACGATGCCCAGGCCTCTGTGGGGCCCCCATAAGCCTCCAGAAAAACGCGCTGTTCCCCAAAAGTGGCCGTTATTCTCTCTAAGGAAAGTGACTGGGCATCTTCCAGAAGATTCCCTCATCCTGATCCCCCTCCTTTGGGGACCGGGACACAGCCAGGGAGAGGCTGCAGTTGGCTTTTCCAGTGGTCACCGACCCAGAGGGTCCGCTGGGAGCAGGTGGCAGCTGCCTGACCTTCACCTTGCGCTTTGCAGCTGCCTGTGCAGCTGCAGC